TGTGAGTTAGCCGCTGCGGAGCCCTGTTGCAGGGCAGGATTTAGTGAAACTACAAGGTGGCAGTGGCTAATTTAGCAACCAGCTCCTTGGAGACGGCCGGCCACACGCTATTGGCTGCCTTGGACGTCACTGCCACAGACCGTCATAAGCCACAATCAGTCGTGTTCATATAAGATCGGGTTTCCCCTCGTCACCAACCGCGCGCCTGGCAGCATTATATTGAAAGAATCGAAGCATTGAACATGCCCAACACGGGGAAGCCGAGTAAAGACTGCCATCTTTGTCGTTCGAGACGAGTGAAGGTGAGGGCCGGCCCGCTCTGTCCATCCAGTATCGTGAAGCTTACTCGGACGATTGTCTTGGCAATGAAAGTGTGATTTAGGCCGCCCAGCTTGCCAAAGATGCATAAAGTACGGCGCCGAATGTCCAGGATACCGCAATGAGCAGGAGCTCGTCTTCCACAACTACACCTCCAATTCTGGCGGTCCCAAGAAGCGCAAGAAGCGCGCCCCAAAAACGGCCGGGAGCAGTACCCCATCAGTATCATCATCAGCGCCCCCTACCCCGTCATCCTTGGGGGACTCGGGGCCAGCAACGCCTTCACTGGCCTTCTTAGATGAAGATCAACCCTATCTCTCGCCGGAGGAAGCCCAGCTCATTCTTGCCAGCTCTCCTTCCCCTCTATTCCTGACCAAGCCTTTGCATGAGCACTGGACTACCCAGTCAATTCCCATCCTCCTCAATGTCTATGAGTCTCTGGAGTTCCTAAATAAGATTTACCAAAACTACCCGCAGGACGGGCCCTTGGTCTGGGCTGCTCACCTGTTTTCCCGCACTTACATAACCAACGTCGCCCACCCAACGTCTGTACATAAGAATGCGCAGGAGGAGACGGAGCGAGAGCTCAGGACCTACATGGGGAAGGCTTTGCGCTCGGTACACGGGGCGCTTCAGGCGCCAGACGGCGCACTGAGGGATGATGTCCTTGCTACCGTATGGATTCTCGCCAACTACGAGGTATTACACACTGCACTCCCTCTGTTCCCTGGATTTCCATTCTCGTTGCTCGGTTCACTAATTGTATCAATTCTGAACGCAGCTCCTTGCTGGGTCATTAAACAACTCGAAAGTCTTGAGCCCGTGGCATCTCCATTCCCGCGGACTGTGCAGCATCCTCAGGACAAGGGGGTCGAAAATGTTCTTCTCCGAGGCAGGTCGTGTGGCCTTCTGGTCTGCCTACAATATGGTTGTATGTATAAGCCCTGGGAGCCAACATGGCAACTACGCTCATTCAACTGACGCTGACTTGATCATAGCAAATTGAAGCACTTGTCACAAGCTCTGAATGCCCAGCAGAGTCGCGAGAGTGGCTGGGCATCATCAAAACCATGATGGACGAGTCGGAGCACGCCCCCCTCCTAGTGTCTTCATACATTGTTGAGATAGCACGCGTGCAATGCAGGATGCTCATCATCCTACGTGACCACGACAGCCAGGCAGCTTCGGCAGAGTACTCGTCACTCATGGACTGTCTGAGGAAAGCCGAGGCAGAAGTCGTGGCCAACCTCAATATCGGCGACGCCCCCCATTCCTTGGAATTGTACTGGGTGCAGCTGTGGCGTGCCGCCCAGGTCAAATGCTACCACGTCGCTCATCTCTTAGCCACCTTCTTGACGCACTTCCCGCCGTACCCAGTCCCGCTTGACCAGCTGGAAAGGGATAGATGCGAGTTCCTGGAGAAGGTTTGGAGTGCCTCGGGCTCCATCCTAGAAGACACGCCCAGATTTCTTGGCGCATTCGGCGGACACAGAGGGCCGAGACCGCCCAAGGCCCTTTTCGACGCCTTGAAGATGATATGGCCGCTCACCGTCGTTTACATCATCCCCTCGTCAACGGAGGAACACAAGGCGGGTGCCCATGCTTGGCTCCTTCTAGTCGGAAGGGAGCTGGGGGTGAGGCAGGCCTTGAAGGTATATCCTGAGCATGCGATGCGCGGCGTACCAGACGAGGCCCGAGAGCCGTTGAGGATCGAGGAAATCTGAGGTTGTAGAAAAACGGCACACGGTACAGGACACGGAGCGATATATTGCTTTCAAAAGAGATCTGTCTAGATATATTAGCACATTCGGCAAGGATCCTTCTACTTTACTAATATTAAATGGATTTTCTAGAGTGCTCCTTTTCTATCTGGGCTTGACGTCTCATACATCACATCGCCAAAGTTCAATCCATAGAGCCGAAGACCCAAACGAATGACAATACTTTTACAGACAATTGAAAACACCCCCCGACGCCCTTGACATTACTATCTCGGTATTAGAACCCCTGTCTACTTCGCAGTCGCCCTGTGAGATCATATAACTTCAGAGCATAATCAAGACCACGAGACTCATGATGATTGCCGCGCTCATCTGTGAAGGCGTGAAGGCGGAGGATGCTGAGTCCGCGGGAGTTGTGCCTGGGTCTACGGGAGCTGTTGCCGAGCTTGTTTGGGAAGTGGCATCATCTGACGCTGTCAGGGTAGGACATGACTTGGACGTGGCCGGACAATTTGTTCGCGTTTCACACGTTGTCTCTACTATGTAAACAGTTCTACAGGTTGCTTGTCAGCCGATAAACTTCAAGAGATGAACAATATTGAAGGGAATTAAGGAAGTGCTGCTTACTTTTGTGTTATCTCTGTTGTTGTATCGGTCACAATAACGGTGGCAGATTCAACCGAGACGTCAGGATGTCCACTTGATACCTTCATGTGACAAAAGTCAGAGCATGAAGATAGGGCATGAGTGAGAGGCGTCTTACCGGCGCTGGAAACGGGCCGATTTCTGTGGCATAGACGTGAAGAGATGTACTACTATCCCCAATGATGGGATAGTCGGAGCCTTGGTTGACCTCCAATGTTGATAGGGCCATGGAGGTAGGTTGTTCAGGGGTTCCGGGCACAAGGGGGTTGTAGTCTGCAGTGAGCATCGTATCCGCCGGTGTACAACGTTTCCTTGGAATTTATGCAAGACGTAAGGTTTTCTCGTATCAGACTATAGGGATAATAATATTTCGAGGGATGCTACCAGGATGGAGAGGAAGCAGATTGAGGAAACTGGCGCATCAGTAGGGCTTTTGTTATATAGGTTTGAGGCGGTGATTGTATGAATCTACAGTCTACAGTTTGTTTACCCGCGATATGACTCCAACTTTGCAAACCGTCCAGCAGCTACTCGGAACTCCGGAGGCAGGTTTTCTGAACGCTTCTTGCCGGCGGCCGCAGATTGATCACGGTAGAAGGCACGTAGCATTGAGGAGACCTTCCATGTACCACGAGTAAATACGGATGGGTTTCACCATTACACCGTGATGACTCTAGTCAGAAACTTCACTATGTGCTTGATCAGGCGAGTACGATCGGGCAGTTTACAGCTCGGAGTTTGCGACTAAGAGGGACTGGGCAGCTCGCAAGCGGATAACTTCCTCGCCCAGACTTAATTAGAAAGCACTAGCTTGTAAACAGAGTGTTTCATGCGGCCGCACGCAGACGGGATTTGATACCAGTTCAATATCCAGTTCAATATCCAGTTTGTGCAGCATAACAGGTTGGGCAAAATCAAGGAACGAGTACGCGACGGCTGGGCGTAATGAAAGTGCCGAATTCGGGCCAGGTGGTAACTCCCTCTCGTTCCATGTGGCAAGTGACGGATGGAAGCACACTTCCGGTGAGCAGAAGCGGCGACAAGGTGAGCACTCCAGATACTCCAGATGCCACACCACAAGATGTGTCGATGATGTTTGAATACTGGGTTGGTGGAGGAGGTGAGTGATGATTGGCTGGCTGAAGAACTGTAAGCCTGAATCTGGGGTTGCGGATTAGGTAATGCGCCTGAGAGATACGTACCTGATCCATGACGTCAAAAAGACTGGCTCCTTCCTCAGCTTCCAAGGTCTATTCCAAGGCAAATGGCAAGTGCACATCACTCAAGAGCCCTAAAGCGCCCCTTCATTTCATTTCTTGCTAATGGATGGATGGATGGACGGAGGGATGTGTATCCCAATCAATTGCCATCCACCATCCCTCGGGCAAGATACTGTGTCCGTCAAACCTCCCCAAGGCCCCTGATTGTCCGCCCATGACATTCCACGACGGTGTTCTATCTAGCCAGCTCTCATCTGAGACAATTCCTGCAGCCAGATGATGGGCTAAGATGGCCACCAAGTCTGTATCCAAGCATCTGTATCCAAGCGGCCCAAGAAGTCAATGAGCTGTTCCCTGCTGTCTGCAGCTTCCTAGCTCATCGCTAGAACCGAGGCCATGTTCCTGGATGGTGCCACGATCAGCACCAGCTTACTCCACTAGGTAACAGCCATACCTTAATGGAATACATGATACAATGCTATGCTGGCGATCGTTTCCCAGTCCTATTCCTGCCCTTGTTGGACCCAAAGACCCGACACCATCAAACGATCGAAATCGATCGCAGTCTGTCCAACAGACTGATGAGCAGAGAGGCCAGGATGCTCGAGACCCCCCTCCCCTGCCTTTTGGCGGCGAGAGTTGCAACCGACCTAGCGGCCTAGTTTCTGGTGCTCATTTGTCGGGGATAGGCTGTTATGCGCTGTCAGCTCTTTCCTTGTCGTTGCCTTGACGTACGTGACATTTGCTCCCAGCGTTTCCCAAGTTAAGGTGTGTGAAGTGGTGGGTGCTTTCCATATATCCATGCGCCATTACGCATCATCGAGAACGGAGTCGCGCCCGATCACTTACATACCGATGATTCTTAATTTACACTTTGATTGGCATTTGCTCTATTGGCCCTCAGAGGCGTTCAAGGCTCAGCAGGCACAGGCACAAATTTGAAGTGTTCTTGCAAGAATCTGATCGTCACTGCCGTCTACTATCCTCGCCCTTCAACTGTGCTCTTGCCCTCCCCCATCTTGCCTTTCTTCATCTTTGCTATCCTCCAGAAAACGCCCATGCCAAAATTAGTTTTTCTTTCCTCTTTTTGCTCCCCATGTCTCTAGCTTCTGCAAGCCCTGTTCCAGCATCTCCCGTTGTCACTGTGGTTCCACCGCAGCCTGTGAGGGAACGTGGCATGCGCCCGAGACTACTCTCGATCCCGACTTCGGAAAGATTAAGTGACGCTGCTACCATTGAGCCTCTTATCAAGATGATAAGCGGCAAGATCCGGAAAGGCAGAAGATCTGTCTTCAAGGAAGTTGGTTTGGATGATGATGCTGATAGGGATGGCGAGAACCATTCCGGAGATCTTCTGAGGCCAAGCTGCCCCCAGAAGAATGAGAAAACACCTGAAGAAGCAGAGAGGAAATTTGGCGAGTTGTCGAATATCCACCCGCGCCATTACAACACCGCACCTCAGCCGCCGACAGCTGCATCTGATCTGTCCCCTTCCAGTCAAGACTCCCGGCCACGTCAGCGCCAGAACTCACTGCCAAACCAGCCTTGGTACACAAGGCTTACAAGGCCAAAGGGGAGGCCTCGTGTCAGGAGCGTTTCGGGGACGCCGCCTGCCACCATATCGGGCTTTCACCAGTTCACACTGGCAGCAATGCTCTTGACCCTATTCCTCCCTTCATGCCACATCCACGGCACACGCCCCGGTCTAGAAGCGATGGTCACAGACGCCAGCGTATTATCCAAGAGGACCCTCAGTCCGGTAGACGTATGCCTCAGATGGGCTCACCAGGCTGCCAACGTAAATGGCACACTGTACATTTATGGAGGCGAGGCAAGGGAAGAGGACGATCAACACGAAAACACATGGAATAACAATTTTCTCACACTTGACTTGAGCTCTGACTGGAGTGTCGACTCTCCCGCTCTGATGGGATTGGAGAAACCAAACGGACCGCCAGCCGTGGCGCTTGGGTATCTTTGGCAAGACTACAACAATCTCTACCTGTATGGCGGGCAGTTCTCCGATTCACCATACACGGAACCGGCCCCTGAATCCATTTGGCGATACTCAATCAGCAGCAAATCTTGGACCGAGTTTCCCAATCCTAAAACATCCGAAGGGAATTACTCTGATAGCGCCGGGGAGCCAGTTCATCGGGCATCTGAGGGTGCGGGTGCTTCGGTGCCCGAGTTGGGGCTGAGCTTCTACTTCGGTGGGCACTTGGATTGGGCAACAACGCCCGGGTGGTCAAGAGACATAGCCCGTGTCTATCTCAAAAGCTTGCTCGAGTTCACTCACCCAGGCTATGCGAATTCGGGCGTCAACGCACTCAGAGGAAAGGGTGCTGGTCAGAGTGGCGCGTTTAGAAATATTACCTCCACGCCAGTTCAACAGAACAACTTCCCTGAGCGAGCCGATGGTGTTCTCGTGTATGTCCCAGGTTGGGGTGAGTTGGGTGTCCTAATTGGTCTGGCCGGGGGCACTGCCGAGGATTTCACCTATGACCTGAGAAGACTTGACGTTTACGATATTGCCAGCTCTCAGTGGTTCCATCAGGAGACATCCGGGGAGATCCCAAGCGTACGGGTAAATCCATGCGCCACAGTCGCCAGCGCTCCGGATGCCTCCAGCTTCCAAATATACCTGTTTGGTGGGCAGAATCTCCAACCTTATGTGAGTATACCTACACTTGTTCGCCTCATCGGTACGTCTGGACTAATGGTCGCCAGGGAAATCAAACTCAATACAATGACATGTTTATCTTGACCATTCCTTCATTCACATGGATCAAGGTCAACTCAAGTGACAGCACGCCTGGGCCTCGTGCTGGTCACACCTGCACAATGTGGGATGGACAAGTCGTCGTCGTTGGTGGTTATATTGGCAACGACTATAAATGTGACTCTCCCGGGATCCATGTGTTCGACGCCTCGAAATTGAAATGGAAGGATAGCTTCGCAGCTGGAGATCACCCCCCAGACTTCCATGCAGACAACATGGTACTGGCAGCATCCAACGGCTATTCCGTCCCAGATCCAGTTCAAAAAGTCATTGGAGGCAACGAACAGGGAGGCGCCACAGTCACCACGCCTGCATCGGGCCCTGCAACAGATGGCCCATTTGCAACCGGCAAGCCTCCCGTCTTTACCGTAACCCAAGGTATCACCACTGTCACGCCCACCAGTGGGCCAGGTTCCGGTCAGGATGAGCCGGAGGTCAGTCCCGGTCTCGTTGCTACGGGTGTCATTGCAGGCATCGCGGGCGTTCTGGCTTTCTATCTCGGGTTCTGTGCCTGGCTCTACCGTCGTCAGGTCAGCGTTTACAAGCAACACCTCACAGACGCCAAGCGATACTCGAGTGATCGTGTCGTCGCCTCTGGCACTCAGGATGGCCCCTACCAAGCATCCGGGGCAGCTCAGAATGATGAGAACGTTAGAGAATCGAAGAACGCAGCGGCGTGGGAAGATTTCAGCACGGGTCCGGCTTGGCTGTCCGAGCCGAAGTGGGCTTCCTCCTCCAGCGACCCGACCCGGGAGACAAGCAGCGGGAGCGGTATCGGGGAGCCATATCATGGCGGAGTAATGGGAAGACGGTCCAGCGAAAGTGGCGAGTCAACCGAAGGCTTGCTGGACGGCAGGGAGCCGAGTTTCTTCAGCGTGGTCATGGCACCAAGACGAGCCCTAAGGGTAGTCAATGGAGCAGATTCCTAAACCTCGCTGAGATTCTCAAGTTACTTTCACTCATTCAATTTCTCAATCTGGCCGGAAAAAAAGAAGAAAACTACAGACTAACTAATGATCACCTCGTCAGCGTGGGAGTTTCTGCTGGGGTTGGAAGGCCATATTTAATGATTATACGTCCTCAAACAATTACACTTGGAAGATGGTTTGTAGCTCATTAATGGTAAATACCTGATGGGATATCGAGCAAAAAGGAAATCCAATAGCCCTCTTTTAGATGATACCAAGACACTATTCTATGTCATGCCAGTTTATCCAATTGAAATATAAAGAAAAAAACAATGCACTCGCTCCCAAACTCCACCGCTCTAATAGATGCTTTCGTAATGGAAACTCGTTGCCGTTACATTTTCTTCAGATCCTTCTTTTTCACCGTGCCCACAAAGGCGCGGTGGAGGAATTCTATCCAGGCCTTGTTGTGCTTCTTCTTCTTCTTCCCTTTGGCGTCATCTTTATCTTTATGCTTCCTTCTCTTTTGCGATTCTACGTCGTCATCCTCTTCTTCTTCGAAATCCGGGTTCTCTGCCAAGTTATCGTCCAAGCCTGCAAGACTCTTGCTCTTGCCCTTTGGATCTTTGGCCAGCCGGTACGCCAGCCTCAGGTAGCTCATGACGGTCAAGTCCTTGAGCTTGTACACCTTGTCATCAAAGGTGCTGTATTCCACCTCGAATGCGAAATCTTTCGGTTGTGGCACCTTGTGGCTTGGCTCCTTGTCTGAGAAGTCCCCATCGCGCCACTTCTCAGTCGAAAGACCAGAGTGCGCGGATTTGTGGTTCATGTCATTGTTGATGAACGTGAGATTTGCAAAATATTGCGTGTACCCATTGAGCGTAAGGAGTTGTGGGAAGTATGCAGGTCCAGGAGTGGAACCTTTGGGGGGGTCCTGAGGAACCACGAAGTTGGGATCCTTGGGCTTGTAGGGCTTCTTCTTGTGCTTCTTCTTGTGCTTTTTCTTCTTGCCCTCGGAATCTACGTCTCTCCTCCTGAGTTCCTGGAAATCGCCATCTGTGTTTTCCACATCCCCGTGTTGTGAAATTGTTCCAGGAGATGCTGGGTTGAAGCTGTCTACCCACAAAGCCTGATCTTCAATTCCTGTAATATTGTACTCGAAGACACGGAGTGTTGGGAAGTAATTGGGGACAATGCTGGGGCTCACCAGGCTTAGCTGATAGCGTTCTGCGTATTTCCCACCAATCTTCTTAAGCGCCTTGTCACGTTTCTTCTTCTTCTTCCCTGAAGAATCGATGTCGGATTCCGCAACAGCGTCTTCCGTAGATTCAACGCCAATCAGTTTGATAGCAGATCCAGGCAAGTCAGCCCACCCTGCTCTAAGCTCCTGAAGATAGTCCTCCTTGGATTGATTGGTGACGTCATCATAAAGCGAGCCTCTCGTATCGACCTGCTCTTCGTTTAGAATGAGATCAAGCTCATCTGTGTCCTGGAGGAGAAAATGGTCGATGTTCATATGGCCATAGAGAGACCCAGTGACGACGTCCCGGTACTGCTGTAGCCACAGAGTGTACTTTTGCCAGCAGGTTTCGTCCCAGTTCTTCTTGGTCTCGGTGCGGGCCGGCGGAACGTGCCCAACCAGAATGGCCTTCATACCTCTCTCTCGCAATAGCTGCAATTGCACGCGAAGCCACTCCATATGCTCGAACCCGGGCTCGGAGGGTTCGGCACATCCATCAACGCCAGCATTGCGATCGAAGAAGTACATGGTATTTAGACTAAAGATTGCGAGATGGTTGGGAATAGCCTCTACCCAAAACCATCCGCCAAACTCGAAGGAGTGGTGCTGCTCCTCAGGAATGAAGCGGCCCCATATATCACTGTACGCGCGCAGCCACTTGTTGGGGCCAGGATAGAAGATGTTGTGTGGGAGGAAGTCGTTATTGCCGAAGGTGGGCACGATGGGAATGAGGAGCTGGCCATCGGGATCCGAAAATGTTTCCACGAACTTGTCAGCAACTTTGCGATTCGTGGCTAAGACTTCGTTGGTGTTTCGGGGATGCTTCTCGTCGCTATCGTGGCGGGCCGTATCGCCGGTCCAGATGATAAAATCAATTTCATCCTTGACATTATCGCGAAGCCAGTCAAAGGTAGCGTTGACGAGAGAAAAGGGCGAGTCGCAGTCAGTCGTCTCAGCCCCGTATGTGCCTGCTGGGCCGTCTTTCCGGTGACAGGCAATGCCCTCTTCTGTCGAAGAATGAACTTCGTAAAATGGGTCGGGATGGAAGTCTGTACATTCGATGGCGCAGATGAGTTAGCGTGTGTTGATCAAACTGTGCGGGCTGCGATGTGAAGCCAGCGGGAGCTAGCTGCAGAGAGCGTGATGGTGTGGTGGCCACGCGTGAAAGTCAATTGGGACAACTCGGGCACGAGAGGGGATCGGATTTCTCATCCTCCACCACCCGACCCTCCATCGCGCCTAAAAAGTCTATTGATGCAGCGAGGACCTGCAGAAGCAACCCTGAGATGCAGGGTTGATCTGCCAAACGCGCCAACAAGCCAACCGCACTCCATGCCGACAAAGCACCACATACAGGGCAAGATGTGTGCAGCAACTTGGGAAACCACGTACCGGTTATGTGCAGGAATTTTCCATGCAGCCTTCGCTGCTGCGCATTCGTGTCTGGTCTGCTGAGGACTTGCTGTTGGCTGTCCTGGATCGGGGAGCCGAGTGCAATGTGACCCCAACCAAACGCAAGGCCCAGGAACAGGCTATGCGACAGCGGAGCCATGGCTGTTGCTGCTCGCACTCGAGTAGAACAATACGTGAGCCACTGATTGTCGTCCTCAAGGTCTCGCCGTGTCCGTTCGTGTGGTGTGAGTCGTCAAGCGAAGCGGTGCAGGAACTCTACTCGTAGTCCACATTTATTAGGTGCATTCGAGCTTTTTGGTGGTGTCGTATGGTCGGGCAAGGATTCGAAGCAGGCCAGACGATGGTAGAAATGGGAGAGCGCCCAGCAGAGTAGAATGAGGGCGGTAGATGTGATATGACCGGGCGAGAAGAATGAAGATGCCAACGCAAAGAAGCGTCAGGCAGGGAAAACTGTGGAAGGAACTGAGTAAAGCACCTACGTCCATCCAAGAATTCATCCCGGGACTCTGGCAGTGACGTGGGGAGACCGCCCGCCAACCAAGTGGCAAGCTAATTAGGGGATCAGCCACAGCCTGGCTACCTACCTAATGACGGTACAGACCGTACAGAAGGGACCTGCGATGATGCGCGCTGCCGTTGCAAGGGCCCAGTCAGATAAACGGCATACCCCTGTGTTCAGCCTAGACGGGCCAAGCGCGTGACAAGGTTGCATGACCCCATACAGTGAGGGAGAAGTCCCAGCGAAAAATTGTGCAGGCTGGTCCAGTGGGGTGGGCCCAGCTATTAGATCAATACATGCACCACCAAATCAAAAATTACAGTAAGCCATTCGCAGGGAACGGGCTTGCCGGTAGCCTCCTGCTAAGACCCTGCGTAGCCCATGGCAGGGACACAGACAGGTAACACTGATCTTTTGTTCCAGAAAACTACCATCAAAATACCACCCAGCAAGTATTACACTGCATACCATACACATATGCATTACATCAAAATATTACAAACAGACACTTACAACTGTCACACGCCACCATCATGAGACAAGAGTTCAGAGCCGGAAAGGCCAATGTATGCTGCGCACACATCCACGTGTGGAAACCAGAGGCCCATGGTCCAACACCTCCGAAAACTTAGACCGTTGCGCAACCAACACCTTGATGGTTCGGCGCCATAGTTCGGCGCCACACGGACGAGGACACCCCCCATTCAAAAGGTGCTGCAAGATGTAGGTTAGTACCTACAAGTGGGCTCCTGACTCGCCTAACCCTCAATGGAATGATGCTTTCGTGATCCCGTCAGTTGCCTTACCCTGGAGATATGATCTAGCATCTCTTTCGGCTCCTGGTGAGCGACGTTTTGGCTTATTGATCAATACTATGGAGGTAAACTCTTCAATGAGTACCTATACTTAAGACATGATGATGTATTATGTGAGAAAACATCTTGTGGGTGAGTTTCATCTCTGCAAACTTAGATTGATGTAAGTTGTGTACATGAAATGCTTCCCATTCAACCTCACGCAAACATTAACGATATATCCCAGGACTGGTCCAGTATCATCATATGCCTACTTGATAATAAGTGTGCCAAACACAAACACGTTAGAAATCAAGGGATCCAGAATATTCCTACCTACCTAACCTACCTATTAAATAACGTACACAAGTTGTTATAGGGTAGATATATGTCAGCCAAAGGCCTAGCCACAGATAAACGCTAACCCTATTTCGGAACACCCCATAGCCCTTTTTATCGCAAATTTCTGAATTGCTGCGTTTTCTTCCTTTCTTAACAATCAAGCAACTCTGTGACCCCCACGAATCTTCGCCGACCACGTAAGCTCGCCGTATATGTGAGGCACCGGGGGCCACTGTTGCCAGACCAAACTACCCTGCCGTTCGTTTGAGGGAGACCGTACGTTGAGAGAGTAACATCTCTTGTGACGGTATCCCATGGTTTTTTCTCGGCTACATCACACTGCTTCCCATTGTAGTTTTTTTTTGTTGGCCGTAAATAAGGGATATCCCGAAACCAGGCCACACGCATGTGATAACCTAGTGATATTATTGCAAGTGAAATACTTTGAATGCCAACAGGTCTAGGGACTTGGCCGTAGTTTGCCCACGGCGCGATCGTCTGGAGGAGGGTACCGCGGACGCTGGGCAGGACGCTTTTGCTATTCCCGCATTCGCGGTGATTGCGCTCTAGAATCAGCAGGGTGTTCGTTAGGACCGGTACAAATTGGCTCAGTGAACAAGGTGACATTGCATTTTACTAGACAGACAATCTTGACACAACTTCAACTTCAAGCAGGTTGGAGACTGTCCAATGAGATGTGACGGGGGCTGACCAGAGGGCGCTTCTGTACTTCGAGAAACACGTCCCTTTCCGAAGGCTTGTTGCAGGTTGAACCCTAAGCGTTTAAGTTTTCCGAGAATCCTTTGCGGCTTCAGAGAAGTTTGTTGTGTCTTGTGGCCCATGATTCTCATTCGACCCTAGAATGGTAGTGTATAGCTCGTCTCGAGGGAACTTACACCCCACTAGTGTTAATCTAGGAACATAGTCGTGAACAGTAGGATTCGGATGAATAAACATACTACTTAAACAGCAGTTACACAGTAGAAACGACGGTATTCAGAGCCGCGCCGAGGAGTCTCTCGCCCCCGTTGTCCATTATACAAAACAAATCGACATGGCTGATTTTGCAATAAACAGTCTACCGCAACATCTATCCTCACTAAAACAAAAAGGCCCCAGCAATGCTCCCCAGATGCTCGGATCGCGTGTGACCCATCCCAAAACCGCGAGCCATTAATGCTCAAGACTCAAAGCTGTACTTGAGCCACCCTCCGAGGGCTCGCAAGCTTTCCCAGCGAACGTTCTCATCCTCGGACTGCATGAGCTCCATTACTCGTCTCTTCAGACCAATCTTCTCTAGCTGGTGTCTCTTTTCAGGGACCTCCTTGACCAAACAGCCAACGTCGTTGCAGGCAATGGCTAGAACCTGCTTGTCGTTATCCCAAGGTTGCGACATGATCTCAGCCAGCTTCCGAGGAATCTCCCCATTCTCGAAGTCGAGGATCTTTCGTGCATTCTCTGCCCAGAAAACGGTGTTACGATGTGGTGGAGACCAGCGCAGATGACCAGCCTGGACTTCAGCGACATATTCGTCAAACGTTGTCTTTGTCTTTGTGTATTCCTCCAACATCTCCTTCAAAGCCTCTAAATCTTCCAACAGATCCGGGTCTGTTAGATGACGGCTGGTGAGGTTCTCTAGCACACCGGGAAGGCGGGCAAGCACAGCCGTGGGAAGTAGGGATCTTTGGTTCTTTTCTAAGAGGTTGTAGAATGTGGATAGGATGAGACGAGTGGTCTTTTCCTTGGGAGAGAGTCGCAGGAGCTGCGTGTAAAGGAGAATGACGTCGTACTCGCTGGGGGAAGTTAGTGATGCGGTCTCGTAAGAACGATCTTTTAGTAACTTACTTGCTAAGTTCATCGCCGATCTCTTCCGACTCGAAACTTATTTGCCAAATGACCAGCAGAACGTGATAGAGCAACTGAAGGCCAACACCGCCACCAATCTGGCCCTCGCTACGAACGGTGGTATTGCCGCTCCACAAACTGGCAGACGAGTTGCTGCCGTGTTCAATACCAGCCGCGTTGTGTAGAATCTTGATCAAGGGCTGGATGGTTTCGCTACGTTGGTTCCAGAATTGTTCTCTGGAAATGTGTCCGAAGAGCAGGGTCGAATATTCTTGAACAGCAATATCCTGTAAGCCAGCATCACTACTCTTAACAAGGCCCGAAAGATAGCTGAATATCAAAGGTAACGCTTGCTCGGTGTATGAAGACTCGTCGCGGGCAGTGGCCATAAGTGCGGTTAGAGCATGGGCAGCAAGTAGAGGAATTGGGTCTTCCGCAGTAGTGGACTTCAGAAGAGGGATGATGTGTCGGTATGGATCAATGTTTACGAAGAGGGCTTTGGCGAGAGAGGGAACGTCTAGGTTCATGACATAGGTTAGTATATTGAGCTGGATGCATGGTGGGATCGTCAGCTAGCGATGTAGCTTCTGAAGAAGTTGGGTGGCTCGCCAAAGTCATTCCTTCCTAAGATGCCTTGGAAACATATAGTTGGCCATGGGTACTGACCATTGAGCAAGTCCGAGAGCAGCACAAGAATGTACTGGACTACGTTGGCGTGTTGAGATGCGGACTCGAGCACGCTTGGCTTCCCAGATGCGCCGACAAAGAGCAGCCTGTAGCCATCAAAGTCTGACTCGACAATTTCCTTCCTCTGCTCTGGCTTCTTGGCCTTGTCGACGGCGCGGATCTTGGTATATTGCTCCTCCGTCAACGTGCCCGCTCGGACGGCGCCATCCCACGGGATCGGTCGCTGGCGAATGTTACTCTGTAACGAGACCAGGTAGGTTTGGGTGTCGAGCGACATCGTGGCAGTTGACGGCCGCGACTGCAGGCGATCGATTACAGAAATGGGAGGATGGAGTTGTTCGTGTCGCCGATGGAGGGGATGGGGAGGTGCTGCCAACCAAAGCCGACGCCGTTGCTTGATGATGTAGTGTCGCAGCTCCCTCTTGATTACCTTGGAGAGGCTGAAGCTTGCATGCGCCACAGAGATGTGGTCGCTCCAGCCACATCTGCAAGTCCGATGTGCCGATGTTTTACCTACGTCTATGAACAGGGATCTGCCAGCCACCAACCTCCCTGGTTTTCCTTCACAGGATCCCACATGAAAGATCGGGACCTAGGGGCTTCCGTTGATTTACAGGGGAAGGATTCTGGCATGTGGGCGAATCCTTCTCTAGCCCGACGCTCTCGCCATTCCGTCCCTGGTGGTTCGTTGATGGTTCATTCGTGGTGTGCATACGGAGTCCTCGGAATGCGCCTTATCGATAATTACCCGTTGGACCATATTTTGTGGAACAAAGTAGATGTACATCTAAAAGTCTGTTTTAGTATGGGAAATTATGAGAATGCAAGTATACAGTACCTTGCATGCAAGTGCGCTGGCACTTCCCCACCTGGAGCTCGTTGTCGATGTCATTGAACCAGACAATGGAAGTCAAATTGCAAGACATTGTGTAGCGACGCTGTGCCTGAATTGATACGGAGCCTGATTTGCGAGGAGGGTTTTTGAGAAAATAATCTAATCTTACAAAGTACGTTTCAGGATCGTTGCCCATGTTGGCCTTCCCGTTTGGCCTAACAAAAGTTTGCATCACGGCCGCCAGGGATGAAATCAAGAGGCTGGTTACAAGGTGGTTGGGAGCACGCCGTCCACCACCCACCTCTTAAAGAATGGTGCAGCACCTGCAGCACCAGTTCCTTTTCTCTCTCACACAAAGTTTTTCCCTACATGACTTAGTTTTTGTCTCTGACGACCCTCAAGACATTTCGAGACTTGGATCCCGCATACTCAAAGCCTGCTCACCATTCCATCAGACGGAAGGCAGCAACAGCGGACCCTGAGCTCGTATCGGGTACCCATCACCACTCTGCTCACCGCGGTGTGTAAGAGAAGGCCGGAGCGATTTTCCGCCTGCCACACCTTTTGGCCGCACTTTTTTCGCTCGACATTTCTGTCGGCCCAAACCGACCGAGACACACATTCTTGATCGGATTCTCAATCACAATGCGCTTACTGCAGTCTTCCCGAAGGCAGCAGCAATTGCTGCTGCTTCTCTCCGCCTCCGCCAGCTTGGTATCCGCCTCACCGGTTAAGCGAGACTGGGTGCCTCAGTACACGACGACATGGACTCAGACCTATACCAGCACTGCTTATACCTGGTACCAACCTGCGCCCGAGCCAACAGCTGGCGTGGACTGTGTTCCCGCAGACACTATGCAGCAAGCATGCGGTTCGATTTGCTGTGCAGGATGGCAGACTTGTGCCTTCAAGGGCCAATGTTCAGCGAAGCCCGGATATGACGAGCCTTCCACCATAGTCATCACCACCGGTGGCCGTACCACCACTCAATATTCCGCTCCTTACCGAGTCACCGGCACAACCGTCATCACAAGTAGTGGAGATAGGTCTACGGCCACTGCAACCACCGCGACCAGCACAGCAACCGAGACAGGCGACGCCGCTGCGATTGGAGCTGGAGGCGGTGGCGGTGGCGGGCTCAGCGGAGGTGCAATCGCTGGTATTGTCATCGGCTCAATCGCCGGTGCCATCCTTCTCTTGCTTCTGGCCTTCTGCTGCATTGCTCGCGGGCTTTGGGCCCTGATGTGCGGCGGTGGGAAGAAGAAGACCCGGGAAGAGTACACTGAGGAACGCTACTCCCGCCACGGCAGCCGACCACCTTCCGCATACTCACGACGAGAGCGTCACTCGGGCTGGTTTGGCGGCGGCGGTGCAGGTTCTGCAGCTGGCACTGAGAAAAAGAAGTCGGGCGGCACCAAGAGATGGCTCGGCCTTGCCGGTCTGGCTGCCACTCTCCTCGCCCTATTGAACCTGAAGAAGGAGAAGAAGCCTGCGACAAAGTCATCCCGCTCCCGCTACAGCGAATCCTACTATTCTTATTCGGCTACTAGTCCTAGTAAGTTTGCGCACGCTGAAGATTAAATTTATTTTGCAAATGAGACTAACTCCCTTAGCAGGTAGCTCGAGCTCTGGTAGGAGATCCCAGTACACCCGCCGTACTGGAGACAGTCGCCGGCCCCGGTCGTACACCGGCACCAAGACTTCGAGAAGATCGAGGTCGTAGTATTCAACTGCTCACTAATATCCAGAAGTGGGCTCATCTGCACATTCTGTACACATTCTATAAACAAACCAACATGAGAGCAATGGTTGGTTGAGAACATCTCAATCAGCTGCATGCACATATTCCCTTTTTAAGTTGCTTTTTACCTGGCAGGCGTTATTTGGTATCAACGAGGATGGAACCGGTTATTTTGCATTTACATGACGATTTTCAAGAGCTGAAAGAGGACATGAACAGATGACGACATCTGACGAGAGAAAGTACATATTTTGACGAGATTATATGAGTGAAGAGAATCTGATCCTCTTTCACTTGGTCGAGCTTGGCTTGGTTTTGGTTTTCTCTTGAATTTTTTCCTTTGGTTTCGAGTGCGATAGATTCAAAACAGAGAGGAGAGAGCCCTGGCTTCAAGTTTAATACACACAAAGACCACGACGTTCATTCGTGTCTCAATGCATCGTGAATAGGAACTCATAAAATCAATTTCCAAAATTGTCCTTTGATATATGTGCGCACATTTTACATTTTCTTTTTTTTGAATACTCCCGCTTTTGGCAGGTCTCGTTCTGGCCAACTGATCAAACAGACCACTAGGGCTACCTTTTGTGCGAGGCGCTTGGACGCGAGGCACCAACAACAGTATGGTCAAAAGGACTGTCTCTTTGCTTTTAAATTCGTATAGTAGCTACCGTGCTACCTGACATGCATTGATGACCCTTCGCCACTCCTGAGACCCAGAAACGCAAAAGAAACAAACACCATATGTCCCGTGTCTATTCCTCAACGACGTTGCCCTTCTCGGAAACGTACAGACCGTCCAAGAACTGTAATCGCTGTTAGAAAATGATAGCAACACATCAGTGAAGGAGTGCGAGAGATTCCCTACCTTTCGGATATCCTTGTTTCGCACCCTGCAGATCTGCTGAATATCGGCAGCGCTCTGAGACACAGCCTCGAGGGAGTTACCGCTCAGGACGAGCTCATCCTTCTGGTTGGCGGAGATGACGACCTCAACACCGGCCTGCATGATGACCTTTCGCAGGACCTTCTCGCCGACGAAGTTGCGGATCTCGACCTCGACCTGGCCAGTCTCGGCGTTCTTCTCCAGGTTGACGTTGATGGGAAAATGGGCGTAGACGTAGCGCATCTTGTACTTGAATCCCTTTGTTACGCCGATGATCAGGTTGTTGATGAGGGAGCGGACGGTGCGGAGGGTAGCGACATTCTTGCGGTTGCCGTGGTGGATCTCAATAGAGATGGTGTTCTTCTTGGGCTGGCCGAAGTTGACAGCCAAGTGGGAGAGATCCTTGACGAGCTTTCCTGTAATTCCCAATCATGTCAGACGCCTGGTTGCTACTAAGTCGGGTGTGAATCGAAAATGTTGCGCTTCATACCTCGGGGGCCCTCGACGGTGACGATTCTCGTCTTGATGCTGACCTTGACTGTAGGGAATGGTTAGCGGACCGATTGCTTGTCAATTGGTTCTTCCTTCACAATTCGATGTGCCCTTGCTCCAAGACGGCCTGTCGCCAAAAGTGCATGCCGCCTCGCCAGCGAGGGCACGCTCGAATTGTTCGAAAAAAATACAGGAGTGTCACATACCACCCTCGGGGATGTCGAGGAGCTCCTGAGAATGAATGTACTTCATCCTGCCGGTTGTGAGGTATGCTGTCGTTAGGTTGAGGGTATCTTGAGTCGTCGGTCCGCGATCTCGAATTCTTTGGCGAATTTCGTGTGGGCAGAAAAGTTCTAGGGCTGGTGCACGTGAGGGTTGGAGGGGGAAATCGATTAGACCAACCCGGAGTTAGGCCGACACATTTTCCAGAGGGAATTTCGGCAGGTAATTCACGTGACTCGGTCCGTCCTGCCCGGCCCTCACGGCCCATATTTTGTCTGCAACTACCTGCCTTAGCTTCAACTGTGGGTTGGAATCATTCGTGTCAGTATCGATACGGCTCCGGGACTTGCATTGAGCACTCCCATTGCTCATGTCCACTTGCTGGCTGGACTCTAATGATGCATTGCAGCTCTTGCAGCTCACACCCTCTCGATGACCACTTTGCCTAGCTATTTGTGCCTCTAGCCATTACCAATTCCACTCGATTTCGTGAATGAGATTGCCCCCCCTCCTAGTGCTGCGAATGTAGTGAGTACTTCCCTACACGTGGGGAGCTTATCAGCAGAGCCGGGTGCAGGTACCTCCAGGCTTGCCTGTACCGCCTGCCACCTTCCAGGCAGTCGTAGTACCACCACGGGGTAACGTCAGTGCACGTCCTCATCGCAACCACCAGCTTAGTAGCTGTATCCGCGCAATCACCTACCGGTTGCTCAATCCTCAACGAAAGGCTCTCTGCAGCCAATTGCGCATTCCCGTAGCTACTTGGAGCGACTGCATTGGATCACTCAACGACCGCCCAAGATGTCTTACTTTTTCTCAACGCCCGTCGACATCGACATCGTGCTTGAAGACACTGATGATCGGTCCATGGTCGATGTCAAGCTCGACAAGAACCGTCGCGAGAAGGCACCTCTTTTTATGGATGGAGAGTCCGTCAAGGGCGCTGTTACTGTTCGTCCCAAGGATGGCAAGCGACTCGAGCACACTGGTATCAAGGTCCAGTTCATCGGCACGATAGGTATGGATGAGCCCCTCGAGCGATATGGCCGAGTGCACCATCGCGGCCCAGACGCGCACCCGTGGGGGTCCTTGGAGCTGCAGGAACCAACTGGCTGATTGATTCTTGGCTATAGAGATGTTCTTCGACCGCGGAAACCACTACGAGTTCCTTTCCCTCAACCAGGAGCTTGCCGCTCCCGGTGAGCTCCAGCACCCCCAGACCTTCGACTTCAACTTCAAGAACGTCGAGAAGCAATACGAGTCTTATAATGGAATCAATGTTAAGCTGCGATACTTTGTCCGCGTCACCGTATCCCGCCGCATGGCCGACGTCATCCGCGAGAAGGACATCTGGGTCTACAGCTACCGCATCCCCCCGGAGGTAAACAGCAGCATCAAGATGGACGTCGGTATCGAGGACTGTCTGCACATCGAATTCGAATATAGCAAGTCAAAGTATCATCTAAAGGATGTTATTGTCGGGCGAATCTACTTCCTCCTCGTGCGCCTCAAGATCAAGCACATGGAGCTCTCAATCATCCGTCGCGAAACCACTGGGGCCGCGCCTAACCAGTACAACGAGAGCGAGACCCTGGTGCGGTTTGAAATCATGGACGGATCGCCATCCAGGGGCGAGACTATCCCGATTCGCCTCTTCCTGGGTGGTTTCGATCTCACCCCCACGTTCCGGGATGTAAACAAGAAGTTCTCAACCCGATATTACCTCAGTCTCGTACTCATCGACGAAGGTTAGTGACGCTACCAGCCTCAACTATTTAATGACATTGTGCTGACACCACCTAGATGCCCGACGATACTTCAAGCAGTCGGAAATTATTCTTTACAGGCAAGCTCCAGACGCAGCCCCCGTCCAGGGCCAGGGAACCCAGTCTCTACCGCCATCAGAGACTAAGTTGGCGGCCATGCAGGCATAGAGACCTGATGTGTATCGTGGCGGTAATCTGTAGTGTCTGATAAGCCTTGTGTGCAACATATCTTGCCTGTTTGTTTCTTCTTTTAGCATAAACCTCGGCGTTTTCGGAATTTAAGAATTGGGAAAGAAGTTTCTTTGTTTAAGGGAGTCGACGTTACAATAGACACCCTAGAAAGTTCTTCAATTATGATCCCTATGACACCAGTACCCCCTTTTTTTCAATAGAAGATCTAAATGGCCAACGTAAGTGGCCGGCTAAAAAAAAAAAGAAAACATCAACAGAATATGAGACAGACTCCTGAAGCAAAAGGTCGCAGTGATGACAGGCCATTTAGGCCCCTTTATTCGATACATGATCCGTTCCTCCTCTCTAGCCCCATCCACCGTGCTTTCTCACGAGAGGTCCATTATATCGTCAGCCTTGAATCCAAACTGGTTGTTCTGGATGGCGGTGATCCTATCCAGCTCAGCCTGGTATTGCTTCCGTATGTCCGCCAACGACACCACCTTTCTCTTCGCCTCCCCGTCTCCATTGGCCTCCGAGCCTGGGACACCCTCATCGTAAATCCATGCCTGCTTCGTGTCGACGCAGCTCAGAGCATTGATAAGCAGGATATACTGCCTCGTAACTGGTGTATCAAGGACGTCGTCGCCGTCAATCTTATCCCCCTCGCCCGCCAGCCGGAGTTTCTGAATTCGGTCCAGAAGAATCGAGGCAGCTCCTCTGAAATTGCCATGCCTGATCCTCCAGGAGTAGAGAATCTGGTGATATGGAAAACCGGTAATCACATCCATAATCGCCTTGCATTTCTGAGCTAGAATCTCATCGACGTCACGCTGCATCCCCGGGAATGGAAGCTTGATCAGGTCGTTATTGTGGTTTGTCTCGCACATCTTGGAAACCAATTTCCGTAAGCTGGAGTGCTTCAATGCGTCGTCCTTGAGCGAGGTAAGGGTCATGTGTGCCAGTTGGAACTGAGCTGTGGCCACGGCTGCGTTGAAAAGACGGCTCAGCATGTCAGTCTTGAGAAGGTTATCGTTGCTCGAGCTAGAGTCGAAGAACTGAATCGACAGCCTGGCAAATTCAACGACATAAGAGTACGCCTTGTATTTTTCATACAGGGCGACGAGGTGGGAGTAGTATTTAGCAAGGCCATGGTTGATGAGGCTCCACTCTGTCGAGTCTAGCAGCCCGCTGCTCAGGTAGCGATCTATCTTGGTATCTGTCGAGCCTGCAAGTTGAATTAGTAAAGCTTTCCTTGATGAGTAAAATACGAGATTATTCATACCCATTCCAATAGCGGCTT